TATGGATCCCAGCAGCCAGCCTCAGCAATATTTAGTAGTCGAACTCTTAAGGAGAAATTGAGATTTGTTGAAATGCGGTAAATGACTTTGAAAGTGGCCTCGTTAACATCAATCTTGTGTCCTGTATGCACAAAATGAGATAGAATAGAGCTATGAATAGATTTTGTTTGTCCTTTGCTTAACCGCTATGCAGGGTGATGTTCGGAAATTCGATGGGACAAAATCTATTCGTAGAGCTGTTCTATCACATCTTGTGGATACAGAACATAAGATTGACGTTAACCATGCTCCCAGGGTCATTTACCGCATACCAACAAATCTTAACTTCGCCTTAAGAGTTCGACTACTAAATAATGATGAGGCTGGCCGTTAGGATCCTTATTAAGAAGCCTAATTTGTGCGTCCAAAAGAAGTTAGTTCAGACATCATTACCTTAACCATCTAGGTTTGAATGAACCTAAATTTTGGTGGAAATTCCCCCAATTTTAGTTGATATTCTACTTGCTACTATATCTTTATTTTTACCATTACTATTATTATTATTATTATTATTATAAATTAAGCATCTTTAATGAACTGTAACTACATTGTAATTCCATCTTACTTTACAAATCGATATTATTAAAAAAACACTACTATTTATTTATTTATTTTTTATTTTGATTTACAGCTTGATTCCACACCGTATTTTCAGTACAGGTATGGAATTTTCAGCATGGATATCGGTAGCCCAAATTCAGGCCGACCATAGATATCGGGGTTCGATTCCCTGCCGGCGCACACCCGATATCTATGGTCGGCCTGAATTTGGGCTACCATTTGGGCTACTATTGTTATTGAATACTAATCTAGAATATTCTATGTGTATAAACATACATAATACATAATTGTAGAGGTAGAAGAGGAAATTATCGAAAAGGAATATTCTTTGCTCTATTATTTTGTGTTTTATGACCATTTGACAAGGATCACAGGCTTATTTCTAACAGAAGCGAAGTCGTAATCAGAAGGGTTCACAAAGAAAGGTAAGAAGATAATTACCCGTTGATGACACTGGCTGGCGCGTGCTACTGATAAGAGTTATCAGTAGTATATAAAGGCAGGGAAAACAGGACTGCAGGTGAACACAGAGAGGACAGAGGTATTGAAGATAACCAACCAACGAGCCAACAAAAACAACCAGCACCAATCACCACCAACGTGAGGGAGACATTTAACAGAGGTTACCTCCTTCCCTTATCTGGTCAGGAAGCATCGTTTCAACTACAGACAGTCGAAACGGATGAAGATGTCCAAGCCAGCCAGCCAGCCAGCCAGAATCAGAAAGGCAAGATACGCCTTCATCAATCTGAAACCAGTTTGGAAATCTTCTGCTTTACTCAGCATGAGGAACAAGATTCGCATTTTCAACACCAATGTGAAGTCGGTCACTGCCTCTATACGGGTCAGAAACTTGGCCAGAGTGTAACGAAAAGGATTTCCAACAGCCTGTTGCAGACTTTCATCAACAGCTGCCTCCACTGGTTCCATACTGAAGATCAAATGGCAAGAAAGAATAAGCAACAAGAAACTATGGCAACAAACCAACCAGGTACCTATCGCTCAACAAATATGTAGGAAATAAAAGACAGATTCAGCCAGAGAAGAAAATTCTCTTCATCGACGAAATCATCTTCAGAGGCTGTACAGTCGTATTTATACTTACAAAAATATATAGTGGTCTATTATTGAGTAATAGGGGGTGACATAATTGATATAATTACTCAGAAGTGGCTTTAGAAGTGAAAATTAAAAGTTGTAAATTACGTGGTACTCAACGGCACAAAGTTAGAAATTTAATAAGATTAAAATTGCTATTGAGTGAGAATAAAGGTGGTATTTGAGTGTCAATTTAACAAGTGTGAAGAGGCTGTGAAAATATACAAAAGGAGCATATGAGAGTGATAATAGTGAATTAATTATTAAAGCAAAAGCTAACTAAAAGTGAAATTAGAATGAAAAGAAAAAATCAAAATATATTTTATTTACAAGGAACAATTAGTGAAGAGGTTAAGACCAAGGTAGAATAAGAGACTGGACAAACTTTTTCCGTATACAAAGTTCAGGGTTGTATTGATGAATTGCCAGAGCCTCCGCCATACACAAAAGCCGAAACCTGACGCCCTTTGTACCATTTGGCTTCACTTTGTAGATGATCTTGAAAGACGATTCTGGTGGAGCTACGTGGCCTGAGTTCACCAAATGCTCGAGAATTGAGCTAGTAATTGTCTTACATTGTCCCTTCGCTAACCATGCCGGATAATGTTCAGAGATGCATTTGGAAAGCGTGCGCTTTGTGCGGCCAATATAACTAACTCCAAACGAGCAAGTGAATTTATAAACACACATTGAGGTGGCCCAAAGCGGCAGTTTATCCTTCACACATCCGTTGATCATTTATCGGCTGTAGAAATTGATACGTAGCTCAGCCATAAAGAAGGCTTTCCTTAGTGATCTGCATAAGCGATTCTTCAGGATCTCAGCTGCGGTATCACCTTTAAATTCAACACTCATAAACAGCAGTTTCTTCGGTACCGTCTGTATTCTTTCAGGCTTTCCCCTTGGCTTCATGTTTTTCTCGATAAATCTTGGAGGATATCCATTCTCCATGAGGAGTTGTCTGAGTCACTCCAGTTCTCCAACGGTTGTATCACTTGAACATATCCTCCTTATTCTTGAGGATAAGGAATGGATCAGATTTCTCTTTCTTCTCAAAGGGACCCAGCTATGGAAATTTGTGTACTGACCATTCCATGTTGGTTTCCTGTAGATCAATCTTTGAGGAGAACCATCACATCTCCTCTTTAGGAAAACATCCAAAAATATATAGGAAAAAGTGCAGGTGAACTGGTAGGGCATTCATTGAGGAGGTCGCCGAATGACATCGCACGCCAGGCCATAGCTCGAGTTGAATCCCAATGGGAAACGAGTGACGAGTGGGCCGTCGATGGCGAGAGTAACCTAGAGGAGATCGTGTGAGGAGGAGATGAGAGAGTTTGATCAATCGTGGACCTAGCTAGCTGAAGAGGACGGCAGAAAACAGAACAAAGTGGAGATGTGTTGTTGAAGCCCTATGTTTCACTCGGAACTCAAGGGAATAATAATAACGGTATAAAGAGACGTTCATCGCAGGACAAAAATAACAGTGACAGACGACGCCAAACAGAGCAAATGATTCAACGTTGTGGAAAAACAGGGGAGACACGAAAAGGAAGACAAAGTAACACACACATACAACACGAAAGGATGGCAGAAGTAGCTCAATACGGTGTATCTCTGCAAATGGTATGTTAAAGATAAGGTGTACATAATTCAGCTATGTAGAGATATCGAACTCCAAATAAACACTCTTCTGCCAAGTCTCTTCTCTGCAAGAGTTACAACATCAGCTGGCGGTCGCAAATTGGCAGAAATTGGAGTTTATAGTCCATCGGATAGCGTCACAGTGACTGTATGCTCTACAAGTTTTCTTCTTATCAGGAAGGTCCTGGATTCTAGCCTCATTAGGTGCCTGCTGATGAAGAGTGCTGGCGCGGAGCGAAGCAGATGTTCAGCACTCCCTGGTTTTACAATGTTTCTTTAAACTGGTGTTAGTCGGTGATCGAATCTGCAAACTTGGAAACAGTCTTCTCAAGAAGTAGTAGCTGCGAGTAATGTGAGGTCGTCAGCATACTTGACACACTTAACGTCATCAGAACAAGGTAAGTCATGCAGCAAGAAGAAGAAAAAGGGGAAAAAGCAGTCGAGGACGACACATGGAGCTCTAAGCGATTTGGCTTCAATACGCATTAGAGTGGAATACTTCCCCTCCTCCTCACACACAGTGTGCTATGTTCATCCTGAAAAAGTAAATGGACGGCCAATTAGCCAATGATTTTCCTGATTGCAGTAGACTGGATAATGTGACGAACAGCGGGCAATGAGGAAACAGGCATAAAATGGACTCACTACAAAAAACTTGGAGGATCTAGACTTCGCCGATGATTTCCCACAAACTGGAAGATATGCAAGCGAAAAGCAGTAACAAGTTGACAGAAGAAGCATCCAGAGAAGATAGGACTTCAGGTGAACATAGAGAAAACAGAGGTGGGTGATGAAGATTCCTGGCCAACACCACCAACAGCAACAACAACAACAACAGACAACAATCAGTATAAATGGAAGGAACCTGAAAGAAACAACCTCCTTTAGCTACCTACCTGAGAAGCATCGTTTCAACTACAGACGGAACTGACGAGGATATCAAAGCAAGAATCGGAAAAGCAAGACAAGCTTTCACTACTCTCAAGTCTGTGTGGAGGTCAACAGCACTCAGTATCAAAAATAAGATCCGGATTTTCAACTCCAATGTGAAGTCAGTCAGTGCTACTATACGGATCAGAGACTTGCGCGCGTCATAAAGAGCATCTCAAACAAACTACAGACCTTCATCAACCAGCTGTCTTCGCTCAATACTCAAGATCAGATGGCTGGTCAGAAAAGATCAGCAACAGAGATCTCTGGCGATGAGCGAACCAACCAGGAACCGATTGTGAAACAAATAGGCAGGAAGAAATGGAGAATGGATTGGCCATACTCTGAGAAAACAAACCATCAAGTGACATCACTAGACAAACCATTGCTCGAGTGGAACCCGAAAGGGAAGCGGCGAGTTGGTCGTCAGTGCAAGGGTGACTTGGAGGAGGTCATGTGAAGAGGAGATGAAAACGTGTGGGCAGGCAGACTTGGAGCCAGGTGAAAACTCTAGCAGAGAACCGAACGCAATGGAGACGTGCGGCTGAAGCCCTATGTTCCTCTAGGAATTAAAGGAAACAATAATAATAATGATAATAACAGTAATAATAATTAAAATTTAAACTCTTAATTTATACTGTTTATATTTAATTCTGGCATTAATTGTCAATTTCCGGTATAATTAAACATAAACATATATAAAAATGTATATTCATTTACTTAGCGTCTTTTGATAACTAACTACAGAATCAGTGAAACCTTTTGGCAATTCATCATCAAATTGTAATTTTATTGGCTTCAATTTATTTATTCATTAATAATGATATAAATATCCGTTCGTAATTTACTAATTATTATCATAACTGGTGGAAATTGTAAATGTAAGTTGTTAGAGTGTAAAGTGTTCAATGATATTTTTTGTTTAAGATTAATTTTCAAGAGTCGGTTTGTAAGGAGTTTGACCACGGATTGATTGATATCAGTTAGAGAACCATTGAAAACCAACACTGCAGTACTGGACAGCTGTTTCATCAGCCTAGTTTGGGAATCATCGTCGGTAGTACGCACAAGCCACTGGGGCTCGAACTCAGGACCACCCGGTTGCAAGGCAAGATCGTATGGTCCACTGAGGGAGAGGGCTGTCGAGTGGTTGCGCCATAGGATGATACTGCATTCTAGTCTTGTCTCGCAAGAGTCAGGGATAGTTGTGTGTTCTGTCCTCCTGTCCTGAAAACCAATACCCAGTCAATGGGTTTACCATTATGTGATTTTTTATACGAGCTTGCCTTGTAACCGGATGGTCCTGGGTTCGAAACCCAGTGGGTGCGTACCGCCGATGATTCCCAAACTAGGTTGATGAAACAGCTGTCCAGTACTCCCTTGTTTTCACTGGTTCTCTAACTGATATCAATCCGTGGTCAAACTCGTAAGATTAATTTGATGAAACGTTTTTTTGTTTTACATATACTGATTTTTGGGACCCAACCGATAATTGCTACCATGATGTGGACATCGCAGTCGGGTCAGCAAGTCACACTGGCTGGAGTGAATGATGCACTAGTAGCAGTTTGTATAGCGACTAGACTAAAAGCAGTTACTATCATACTGTTTCTTTGACAGTTTGTCGGGGATCTAAGGGGGAAGTTAGAATTCTTGTGTATTGTTGTTTTTCTGAAATGACCAGTCAGTCAGCTATGCTGCTTCTTCACCCTGGAGAAGAGCAGTTGGATAGAAAAGATAGCCCCTGAACAATGTACATCTTGACTTATCTAATGGAGGTCCGTAATCAGCGGTAGTCTTTTTAGGGACACAACTTCAGAAACCGCTTCTGTCTCTTATTTTTTCAAATTTGATGTTATATTTAACTGTGGAAAGAGTCATAAAGGACGACGTCAGTTGTGAGGTACTATCTAGAAGTTCATTTATGTGTTTTAACATATGTGTAAAACTTGGGCACTGTGGTAGTAAGCAATTCCATATTAGTTTGTTTATTAGATATATCACACAGTCAGCGAAACAGTATTATTTACCGGGTGACGTTTCGAACACCATTTATTACTGTTCATAATCATGCCATCAGTTATAATCACACAAATTCGAAACTTGAGTTTTATAGTTTTGTTTGTTCTCTCCTATTTGTCGTCGTAGGGGTAGTAGAATTTTCCAGATGTCCCTGTAGACAACTGCTGAATCATTCTTATTGTTGCATGTATTTTCAGTTGATTCGATAAATAAAGCTTTTGTTATCAGTCTCTCCCTCCACCCTGTGATATTAGATTCTAAAACTGTCATCTTATCCCATCATCCTACTGTATGGTTGGTTGTATGTAATTGCATGCAGTGATTGCTATCGCTGAACTCACTATTCTCTAGATTTTTTATCTTATTCAGGTCAACTAATGTAGATTTTGCTGCTAAACTTTTGTGCTCCGCTAGTCTGACTGACTGACTGACACCGTTCTACTTCTCTGACCCATGCATTTCACCTGACAATCATTTCATTGAAGTGTTAGATAAACGAAATTGTTTTGTTTAATTGGCTCCACAGGATCCACTATTTAACCAACAAATCTTGTTTCTAACTGAGTTTTTGGGCAGTTTGAATGCCAGTCACTTTTATTCCTGCCTGTATTGTTAAGAATTCTCCTTAAGGTGGTTTCCAAGTCTCCTTCTTTTTATAGAAGTACTACTAATGATGATTTAAATTCCCTATTGTTGGTGTTGTCAGTATTCTGTGTAGACTTGAAATGCATGTTGTCATTAATATTATTATTATTACTATCACTACTATCATTTTACTTTTACATTTTCCTACTTACTTCCGGTCTAATTTATTTGGGTAATTACTAAGTTTTAAAGCCCTTCTTATATGCCTCACCTCCTATCTAAGATTTTCTTTGGTACTACTTAGTTTTTGTCTCCTATTATTTAAACATTTCACCAATCCGATTTTTACTGACATGAGCTGGGATGAACGGAAATTAAAATATCAGTTTGACTGTGTGGATTTCTTGTAAACACTAGTCTTTAACTTCCCATCTTCTTTCCTATTTACTATACAATATAACATTGGAAGCTCTCCTTCTTGACTTTCCAATTCATAAGTGTTTTGAATTGCCTCTACCTTAGAGTTGATGTGTTCGAAATATCTGTTTATGTCTCGTATTCTAAGTACGGTGAATGTGTTATCTATATACGTCCACCTACTTTTTGGGGGCGGGCCTGAAAGTCTCAATCGCTAAGTTTTCCCACCTATTCATGAATATATCTGCTACAACTGCGGATATCGGTGACCCCATGACAACTCCCTGAATTTGTTTGTATATTTTCCCTTGGAATTTAAGCACTGTGGAAATCAGACACAATAAATTGTGTTCGAAACTTCGTCATCCAGTAAATAATACTTGATATATCCATCTAATAAACTAATTAATGTGGGATTGATGTTGAAATGTAAGTTTGCAGGAATTTGATTTAATTGGTTACAGGATTTCATCATGAACTGACATTTTAATCCAGAAGAATCGGCTTCCAAACAACATCAACAGCAACTGATTCTAAGGTACCTCATTCGTCGTATTAGTCATACCGTTGTCGGTATTAGTTGGTTGGAGGCAATCGGCAGGAAGCCTTGGTCCTAGGTTTCGTGCTAGTTGGCACTCATCAGCAAGGCGTATCTGCAACCTTGAAGGAACTGACGTCCCTTCTGAGATTCGAACCCGCGTCACCCAGTGCTGCAGTCAGAGACGTTACCACTGAGCTACTCCTGCCGATTGCCTCCAACCATCTAATACCAACAATTCACAGTGCACCGTAATGGCGAGCCACCTAGCATGGTGGCCACATTGCAAACATGACTGATAGAATTCAATCTGCACCGAAGATAGGACTAGACACATTACACTAGTTACTGACTAGTGTGCAATCAAAAAAAATATTGGTCATACCATATTTATCACGCTTAAAATATGCCCACCGAATTTGCTGGATATCACAGTGGTAACATCTATCTGCGAATCGTGTCTGCCCACATTAAGTCTGCGCTGATTGGTTGTTGAGTTCCTCAAGGTTAGGCTCTGTTCTTGTTTTTTCTCATGACCCCGATTTAGAAAATAAACATTGACGTCAGTTGTTGTCTACAATTTTGTCTTGCGGACAACTCTGACCGCAATAGTATATGGCTAGTAGTATAGCCATGCAATAGATTAATTAGGAAGAGATGCTTGCAAATCACACAGAAGGTTCGGGTTTGACTCCCGGCTTATGTACTCCTAAACCTCGCCTGATTTACTAGCTGGTCGTGTGTGAGGTTAGCAGTCCAACCGCCGCTACTGAAAATTCAATATGTCCCCCTTCCAAGAGTGAAGAATGAAGAAAGATGATGTGTACAGTAATTTTTTGAGCAGTAAACCCACAGAGTCATACTTTATAACCATAATTACTATATTATTTATCAATCATTTCATGTATTTCAAGTGCAACGTAAGGTCTCAGTAGGGGTATTTCCATCTGCTTTAAATTCCTTGCCCTTAATTTTGTTCTTACTGAGAGAAGACTTATCATTCGACTGGCTTTCTAATGGCTTTGTCAACCGGCGTCATCTCTCTTCAAAACTGACGAGTCTTCGGAATTCTAGAGATGAATACACTTTACATGTCTTTCGCACTCTGAACTTTCCGTAGCTTTGGCAGTGTTTTTTATGACGTTAAGTTGCTAGCCCAAAGTTCAACCTCCCCTCTTTTCCGAGCTAAGGAACACCTAATAAACTGAGCGAGGGTTACTACAACACATTTGCTGTTTTCTAATTTGATAAATCAAGAACACATATGAAAACAAAGAGAAGACGTTCAGTGAAGAGACTCTTTTCCGCATCGAATTCATTCACATTGCTGTACAGTCGCATTTATATACAATTATTTGTGTGTGTGTGTATGCGTGCGTGCGTGTACATGGGTTTGTCAATTTTAGATAATTAATCAGGTAATACAAGAATGATCTAATATAGAAACAAGGTTATTGATATAAGAACAGAACTTATGCACTGTGGTGGTAGAGTATAATTCCATTATGGGTAAGATTTATTTTGATTAAGTCTCACAAGGAGTGTTATACAGTAATATTTACTGATGACCACGTTTCGAGAGCTATCTATTACTGCAGCTCATAATCATATCGAGGCACTACTCACACAATTTCCTGACTTCGTTTATATACATGAGTAAAAATTGATTAGACACATGAATAAAATCAACCAAAGACCAAAAATGGTCAAAACCAAAGTAAAAATAATAGTGAAACTAATTATGACAACATAAATGAGAGAGAATATAAGGCATCTACATTTTCACCATGCCGGGAGGGGACATCTGAGACGAGGCCCTACGTAGGATTCTCAATAAAGTAGGAGTTAGGGTGGTGGCATTCAAACCTACAACCTCACTCAGGTAGGACAAGCTCTGTAGACTAAAAGACCCGGTGGACCCAATTAAACAAAATAATATAATTTACAAAATACCTTGCAATGAATGTGAATGAGGTCAACTACATAGGTCAAACTTGTAGTTTGGGGGTAGTTAGATTGTCGGAACATAAGAATTTAACTAAGGTAAGAATGGTTGACCCAGAGAAGATAAGTAATTTAGAAAAATGCTCAGCAATCGCACTGCATACATTAACACAACCACACAATAGGGTGGGAAAGAGTTAAAATTCTAGGAAGTAATATAGGTAGGTGGAGAGTGAAAGAGGTTGATTACTAAATCTTCGTTCATCGAGTCTACACCCAACACGTGCAAAAGGAATGACTCATCATTCCTACCGGAAACATGGGAAATACTACTACCAATCAAATAATGGAATTATATAGACGAAGATGGAAAGTTGTGTGAATACCTTGATATGATTATGAGCTGCAGTAATAAACTGTGCTCGAAACATGGTCATCAGTAAACATTACTTGCTGTAAAACACTCTGTGAGACTTCATCAAAATAAATCTTACCCATAATGGAATTATACTCTACCACCACAGTGCATAAGTTCTGTTCTTATATCAATAACCTTGTTTCTATATTAGATCATTCTTGTATTACCTGATTAATTATCTAAAATTGACAAACCCATGTACACGCACGCACGCATACACACACACACAAATAATTGTATATAAATGCGACTGTACAGCAATGTGAATGAATTCGATGCGGAAAAGTGTCTCTTCGCTGGACGTCTTCTCTGCTCATATGTGTTCGTGAATGGACGAACCAGAAAACAGCAAATGTGTTGTAGTAACCCTCGCCTAGTTTATCAGGTGTTCCTAAACTCGGAAAAGGGAAGAGGTTGAACTTTGGGTTAGCAGTTTAACCTCATCAAAGACACCACCAAAGCCACGGAAAGTTCAGAGTGCAGAAAAATTTGAAGTGTCTTTATCTCTAGAATCCTGAAGACCCCTCAGTTTCTAAGAGATATGACGCTGGTTATCAAAAGCCATTAAGAAACCAGTCGGGTGATAAGTCTTGTTTCAGTAAGAACAAAATTAAGGGCAAAGAATTTAAAGCAATAGAATTACCCGGCCGAGACCCGATGTTCCACTTGAAACACATGATTTAATAATTATCGTTATAAAGTATGACTTTGCGGGTTTATTGCTCAAAAAGTTACTATACACATCACTTTTCTTCATTCTTCACTCTACTACTATTACTAACGATAGTTTTGTCTTACGAGTTGATCACGGACTGATATCAGTTAGAGAACCATTGTCATTCACACTGTTGACATTCATTTGTCAAGCATTTGTCAGTTTGACCAATTCTTCCAAGCTTTATTTTATTGTTGAAATAATAGAGAAGATTTATAAGTCAGAATGAGGATAGGAATACTTTAGTTTCGCCTGAGTTTCAATATTTCATCTTGAACGTTTCATTGTCAGTCTGGATAACATTTTCAAATCAGGAAACAAAATTTTAAGTTGTATTAACTGGAAATATTTATTCCAGAAAAAGCAAAAAAATTCAGCAAAGAATACCTTTTTCAATAATTTCCTCTTCCCGCTCTACAATTATACATATATCTTTATATACATAGAATATTCTAGACTAGTAGTCAATAACAATATTGGTGTGTTTTAAATAATATCGATTTGTAAAGTAAGATCACAATGGAATTACCACAGTTCATTAAAGATGCATAAATTATAATAATAATAAAAATATAATAGCAAATAAAATATCAAATAAAATTAGGGAGATTTATACAAAAAATTGAGGATCATTCGAACCTAGATGGCCAGGGTGGTAAGGACAGTGTCTGAAACAACCAATTTCTTTTGGATACATAATTTAGGCTTCTTAATGTAGATCCCAACAGCCAGTCTCAGCAATAATAGGAAGCAGTTCAAATAGAAAACCTAAATCAACTGGTCGGTATACTCATTTGTTATCAGCTTCGTGCTTTTGAAATACAAACGCGATCTGATGCAGTGCTTGGTCCGCCACAGAGCAAGAGAGCAATCTACTCTGATGAATGTCTTAATGAAGAACTTAATATTATTAAACAGTTGTTGAAAGGAATATGAACCAGAAGTCAAGGCAGGCCAAGGTACCAACCAACAGTATCGAAGAAGGAAGGCCTTGTTCCTTCAACTTCACTTCCTCGCCTAAAGAATACGGCAGTTAAAAGAGCATTCAGTGCTACTGAACTACGCTGTGTCTTCAAAACCACCCCCCCCACCCATTTTGCGTTCGGGAGTTAAAGATAAACTGTCTAATTTCGCCTCTCCCATGTGTATCTACCAATTAGACTGCTCCTGTGGAGTGAGCCAATTAGTTACATAGGCCGTACAATTAGATGTGTTTCTCGTCAGATTTCCGAACATCATCCTGCATAGTGGTTAAGTAAAGGACAAACGAAATCCATTTATAGCCCTATTCTATCTCATCTCGCGGATACAGAACACAAGATTGATGCAAACAACAAGGCGGCTTTCAAAGTCATTTACCGCATACCAACAAATCTTAACTTCACCTCAAGAGTTCGTCTACTAAATATTGCTGAGGCTGGCTGTTGGAATCCACATTAGGAAGCCTAACTTATGTATCCAAAAGAAGACGTTGGCTCAGACACTGTCCTTACCCTCTTGGGCATCAAGGTTTTAATGATCCTTGATTTGTTGTGGAAATTTCCTTAACTTTACTCGATATTCCATTTAGTATTACATTTTATGCTTATAATAACTTAAACGTCTTTCTTAAACTGTAATTCCGTTGATCTTACTTGACAAATGGATATTATTTTAAAAAACACTAATATTGTTATTGACTACTGTTCAGTTTCTGGGGGACAACATCAGCGAGATACTAACACCTTAGAAATGCGGTAAAAAGAGCATTCCCTGCTGCTGAACTCCACTGTGTCTTCAAAACCACCCACTCTTATTTTGCGTTCGGGAGTAAAAGATAAACTGACTAATTTCTCCTCTTTTATGTGTATCTACCAATTAGACTGCTCCTGTGGAGTGAGCCAATTAGTTGCATAGGCCGTACAATTAAGCGTGTTTCTCGTCAGATTTCCGAACATCACCCTGTATAGTGGTTAAGTAAAGGACAAACGAAATCCATTTATAGCCCTATTCTATCTCATCTCGCGGATACAGAACACAAGATTGATGCAAATAACAAGGTGGCTTTCAAAGTCATTTACCACATACCAACAAATCTTAATTTCACCTTAAGAGTTCGTTTACTGCACAAATTACTGAGTCCGGTCGTTGGGATCCACCCTAATTAAGAAACCTAATTTATGTGTCCAGACATTGTCCTTACCTTGGCCGTCTAGGTTCGAATGATCCTCAATTTTTGTTGATATTCTATTTGCTATTATATTATTATTATAATTATAGTTTACGCATCTTTAATGAACTGTAATTCCATTGTGATCTTACTTTACAAATCGATATTATTTTTAAAAAACACTAATATTGTTATTGACTACTATTCTAGAATATTCTATGTATATAAACATATATATAATTGTAGAGCGAGAAGAGGAAATTATCGAAAAGAATATTCTTTGCTAAATCTTTTGCTTTTTCTAGATGTCTGAATGAATATTTTCGCCATATTTATTCCAGCAAATTTGCTGGAATTGTTCCAATGTAGATTTTGATCATATGGAGTATCATTGGAAACCAGGGAATACTTACTAGACATCTATTTCATATATTCGCGAATTTATTTCCAATAGAGTGTTCAGTTGAAGAGTTCTACCTCCTTGATTTACCGCTTATTCTTTGTTTAAATTCGTGTTTGTACTCGTGAGTGACGCGTACCCACGACCCCGATAAGGATCAGACCCATGACCTTCAAACTTCAAGGCCATCTCATTGACCATCCAGTCACCAAGGGCTAGAACTGATTAATCTATCAGGAATTGAAAAAGAATTAGAATTCCCGAGTCATCGAATCCCTTCTCAAGTAACTGAGAGCCCTAGAATCGTGAGTGTAAACTGCTGGTCAGTTTTAAGCTAGGTAAACGCAGTTGTCCAACACATCTCCACCAAATGACTTTAGTTTATGGCGACATCTACAATGAAATTAATCTATAATCTAAATTGACTAATTATTTTATTTTATTGATTAATAGGCGTTAATTCTTTGCTTTTATTTTCAGTCTTATTGTCTCGAAATTATGCGATCAGCTATTTGGATCTATATTTTAGCATACTGTTTGTATTGTCTCACCATGATTGAGGGTAAGTTTAGTAATAATCGTGTTTTTTATGTGAATGTATAATAATAATTTGCTTTATTCCAAAAACAGTACTAATGATACAGCAAGGAATTTTCAGCATTCAGTACAATATTGCATCTAATTTACTCAAAACGACAAAAAATAAACATTACGTAATAATAATAACAAAACGTTGTTATAGCAGCTATGTAGTCAATTACAGTATACGATAAGGAGAAAAATATGCATAAAGTATAAAATTATAGTAATAATAGTAATAACAACTAAAATAAAAATAGCAAAGTTATAATTAAACGATAGAAAGGGTGACACCATAAAATTACAGAAAGATGAACAATGAAAGGGTCGATTCACTATGCTAATTACATAGTAACTTATATGTTTCACGTCTAACAGAGTCTTCATCACATAAAATACGGGCTAAATACGGTATTGTAGAATTTTTGTACTTAGTGGTTCGAGCATATAACTTTTTATATTGACTTCTCGTCCTACCTGATGAGATGCAAGGGGATAGTTGTGAATAAAGGGGGTGCAGAGGGTCTGAAAGTACGGCCTTTGCCCATTTTGTACAGGAATTTATGTGTCTCTCGACTATAGTATTGGCGAGCTCATGCAGTGGCAAACCACAAGCCCTACTCACAGCATTTAATACCCTTCGTAATATGATATAGTCTTTTTTGAGAAGCCCAGGAAAGATTAATGGAGAGCAATAGAGTACAATAGGTAAAATACAGGAGTTTAAAAATTGCAGAACTAAAGGTTGGTTGATACCTGATTGTCTTAACTTTTTAATGTAGAAGGTAAGACGAAACATTTTCTTAGAGATTGATAAGATGTGGGCTGACCATGAAAGGTCAGAGGAAAGAACTTATCCAAGGTATTTAATGCTTGACTTGGTTTCAATTTCAGTGCCATTTATGCTACAGGCATCATGGGAACTAACTAGTTCATGTATGTCACGTCGATGCTTGAAAGTAAAGTTAACTGCCTGACATTTGGAAGGATTTAACATAAGACCATTTGACTTAGACCACTTGCTGATGTCCAACAGAAAGCTATTAAGTTTGGAGCAGTCAGACTCGGAAGTGATCGGCAGTGATACAGTCAGATCGTCAGCATATTTGACAGAGTTAGTTTCGTTTAAATGAGGCAGGTCGTGTAGGAAGAAAGAAAACAGAAAAGGAGAGAGGACGGCACCTTGAGGAACACCGGCTTTTGACTATGTGGTGACTAATATGTTCCCTCAAGGTCATTCGGGTGTCTGCTATAGTTTATATCCCCACCGTTGATCTCAACAAGATCGTAGATACATTCTGAAATAATCTGTGAAGATCTACAGCATAGGTGGATGCTTTTGCAGTAATGTTTTGTGTCATCTGAGCTGGATGATCTAATTTTCACCTGCTGTGCATTGATTATAACCGGAGATTCTCTTTCCTCCAATGGCATGGGATACTGGCGGGTTTCACTAATTTAAATATTCCCATAATGATAATTATAGAATACGGCTTAAGCAAGCAGATACGTATTTTCGGTAAATTCTTATCAGGCTTTATACAATTACACATAATGACGAAATATTAGTCACAGGCGTTTGAATTAATATGGCCAACTCACAATTTGAGTTCACGCATATGAAAAGGAGAAAGGCGTCATCACCTCATCATTTCTTAATGTCCTGATAACAAGAAGGCAAGGAGGGTGGCACTTTACCCGCAGATCCAACCTTGTGTCTCCTCAGGTAAAACAAGAAGTCTTTTCAGAAGACTTTATGCACACACGTCTAAGTATTAAAATTCCACTATACCATATTTGGCGGCACGTACTTTATGTGAAGAAAATAGTATCAGGTATGAACTAAATAACTAACCTTCTTTGCACTAATAAATAAACCATTTCCTCCACCCTTAAAGCATCAAACTTTATTGTTTCTTATATTTATAATCCTCTCAATTTCTTGTTTTGTTTATATTTTTTTTCATAAGTGTGAACATCATTTAAGCTGTGTTATAACTGTTAATTTTGTATTTCCCCTCACCATAGTATATCAACAGAAGATTAGATCCAATAATCTATAACATGCTAAAGTTTCCAAACTGAATTGACAATACTGTTTGAAACAAACTCACTGTTATTATTATTATTATTACCATTACATTTAATATTCTCAATTCGTACTTAGAATATTTTTGACTTTATACCGTAAGCGTGGACAAATTCCTCTGGTTGATTTTGTTTTAATTTTATTTATATTTTGAGTAAATCAGATGCAATATTGTGACAAATGCTGAGAATTCCATTCTGTATTATAAGTACTGTCTGTTTTGGAATAAAGTAGATTATTATTATTATATTAGGAGGAGTATTTTCCGGAAGAAGTCATGGGTTGTGGCCAATACATCCATTTCAAGTTGTTTGTTCCTCTTGTATACAAACGAAATCTTATCAGAACCTTGATGTGTCATGCTAGAGAAATCTGCACAACTGACACTCTAGACGATGAAATAAGGAAAATATGAGACTTTTATACGAGAACGGATACCCCGAAACATTTGTTAAACTCTCGATGAGGAGAACAGATAGAGGGAAGTACTTGCAAACTATACAGAAGGAGACGCAGCCACTGAATAACTGGCATCGAAACTTCGAGAAATAATAGCTAAAACATTCTTTGCCGCAACATTGTGTTTAAAATTCGCCACTCGTTGTATAATTCCAATGCAGGTGAAGGATAAGCTACCGAGTCTGACCACTTCAATGTACATTTATAAGTCTGACTGTTCATGTGAAGACAGTTACATAGGTAGAACGACTCAGCAAGCCCACCGTCGCCTTATGGAGCATTGTCCAACGTGGTTAGGTAGAGGAGTCGTCAAGTCAATCAGAAGTTCCATACTGGCACACCTAGTGGATACAGAGCACAAGATTGACAAACAATTTCAGCTTTTACAATTCTATACAGGGTGCCACCTCAACTCCGTAGATTGGTACGTCTTCAGTTGATAAGCATTGCTGAGGCAGTTGCCGAAAAAATTTTCAACCCAATCTCTGTGTTCAGAAGAAGTTTGTTCAATCTCCCTCTCCCTCCCTTGGCCTTCGCCCCCAACTTGAAATAGTTATCTCTCCTGGTGACACTGGATACCCGTAAATATTATCTTATTATATTTTATCTGTAGTGCTGACTGTATTATCAGTATCGTGCTGTGCTGTAGTTGTACATCTGATTCTCGGTTTAACAAATTTTCGTTATTATTATTATTATACGTAATCGCTGTGACAATAGTTATTTTCCCCTCTACCCCTACTAGTATACACATTCTACCTATACACTCACCGTTGCCTAGATTAGATAAACACTTGAATGAATTTATCCTTGTTACTATTATTATTATTATTATTATTATTATTATTATTTAGATAAAGCAATAAGAAGACGTAATTTGTCTGAATCGTGTATTGTGTATTTGAGCTACACATTTCGAACAATCTGATCACACACACGGACTTGTCATAGGAATATGTATATATGAAATTAATAAAGAGTTAAGAGGTGAGAAAATAGACTTAGGTCAAGTTAAAAGGACATATTCAAGGTCAAAATAACAATAAAGACCACAAAACCAAATAACAGAGGTAATAGTACATCTGACCTGACTGGTATCAAAACAAAATTTACCAAGGAAGGTTTAATGTGATGACGAATTGTTGCTTTGATCGCATAAAGGTGGTTTAAACTTTCTAATTGCTAGGACTTCCACAAACTTTAGGATACACCCCAAACACGTTTTATAGATAGGTTTAAAAGATGTGTTAACGTCAATTTTATGTCCTGTCTCCTCTGTAATATGTTTCGCAATATAGGAGCTAGATCTCCTGTTCTCACCATTAATGGGTTCTGAAGATTCCATTTGTTTCTGGAGCCATTTAGGAATATCCTCTGAAGCCATCCCTTACTTGCAGAGATCTATGAGTCCCCCTCGCTATATATGTGTGTCCACACGTACATTCAAATTGGTAAATACAACAGTGGGATGTGACGTCATTTTTTGCATGTTCGAAGGGCTTAGATAGATATAATGGCTTCACATTCTCTATTATTATGACATTGGCTGCATAAAAAGTCTTTTTGACAGCAGCGTTCAGTCTTTGTCTGGTCATCAAGCTGCTTTGATGCCCCATATAGAGTAGGTAGCTTGATGTACACGTCTTTCTTAGGGGCCAGTTTGAGAGTGAGTGGGTCTTGGTGTTCTGACTACTTTATATCTTAAATTAGTAGTTAAAAACAATATTGGCGTTTTTTAAATAATATCGATTTGTAAAGTATGATCAATGCTATTACAGTTCATTAAAGATGCCTAAATTATAATAATAATAAAGATACAACAGCGAATAGAATATCAACTAAAACAAGGGAAATTTCACAAAATTTCTGGATTATTCAAACCTGGATGGCCAAGGTAATGATAATGCCTGAACTAACTTCTTTTGGGTGCATAAATTAGGCTTATTAAATGAATCCCCGCAGCCTCAGCAATATTTAGAAGTCGAACTCTTAAAGCGAAATTGAGATTCATAGGTATGCTGTAAATGACCCTGAAAGCATGATTAACGTCAATCTTGTGTTCTGTCTCCACAAGATGAGCCAGAATAGCGCTGCGAATAGATTTTATTTGACCTTTGCTTAACCAGGTAGGGTGATATTCGGAAATTCGACGAGACACACACCTAATTGTACGGCCTATGCAACTAACTGGCTTACTCCACAGGAGCAGTTAAATTGGTATATACACATGGAAGAGGCGAAATTAGGCAGTTTGTCTTTTATTCCCGAAAGCAGAAGAGGAGTGGTTTTGAAGATACAGCGTAATTGAGCAGCAGGGAATGCTCTTTTTACCGCATTTCTGAGGCGATGTGTTAGTATCTCACTTGTGTTGTCTCCTAGGAACTGCATCTGTAAGAACAAGGCTTTCTTTGGAACTGTTGGTAACTTGGACTGTTTTGGTTTTAGATTCATATTCTTATCAATAAACTTCTCAGGATAACCATTCTCACTTAGCAACGGTTTAATATTGTTAAGCTCCTCGTCAAGACATTCATCCGAGCGAATATCTCTTGCTCTGTGGACCAAGCACTTTATTAGATTGCGTTTGTATTTCAAGGGCACAAAGCTGAGAAAATGTGTGTACTGGCCCGTTGATGTAGGTTTTCTATAAACACTTTTTCTTATTGTGCCATCCTCTTTTCTGGTCATAAGGACGTCTAGAAATGAAATACTAGAGTCTTTTTCTTTCTCAATAGTAAAATTTCTTGCAGGATGTACCTCATTAAATTTATCCAGGATGTTCTTTGCCTCCTTTTCGTTCTTCATAATCGAAAAAGTATCATCCATGTATCTACAATGAAATTCGAGTTCATTAATAACATCTTTCAAAGGCCCATTTTCTAGTTTCACCAGGAACTTGTCTGGATAATTGTTATCAACCAGAGTTTGTGTCAACTTTCTTTCTTCTTCACCAAGTGTGTCTTCAGTGCATATTCGTTGGATTCTACTGAAAAGGCACCTCGTTCACTAAGGCTCTTTTGTACCGAACAGGGCAAAAACTGTGGTAATTAAGATACTGTCCTGTCCAGGTAGGTTTTCTATAAATAGATCTTTTTATTGACCCATCAAGCCGTCGACTAAGCAAAATGTCTAGGAAAGATAAACAATTATCTTCCTCTTCTAGAGACAGATGTAAGTGATATGCTATTCTGAACTTCATTCATTCGATTTGAAATTGAAGTGGCAGAACAAGACTTATCATTGATGATTACAATATCATCTACATACCTTCTATAAAGTGGCACATTTTCGATTAAATCCTCCGATAAATTCTCAATGTACGGCATATAAATATCTGCTAAACGGGGCCCTAACAATTCAGACAAATTACGTCTTCTTATTGCTTTATCTAAATTCATAAAGGGAACTAATTGTTTTAAATATTTTTATTATTATTATTATGATCACCTCGATTGTTGTCCATTAATTCACATCCCTGAACTCTGATCCTATATATTCTATTAACCACATTAATTCAAATGCTTATGACTAATACTTCATTATGGGAAAAATGTAAATCCTGATGAGAATTTACGGAAAATACGTATCTGCTTGCTTAAATCGTTCGTGTTCTATGATTCTCTTTCCGTCATATTGACCCATATTGTCACTAAAAGTCTCTCTGAACTGATATTTCACGTCTTAATCTTTTGACAACCAGTTACAGTCAAGGTCAAGAGGGAAGATGATTGCATCAGTCATGGGGGTATTTAAAAGGGTCACTTGATTTTGAAGCAAGCGGTGAAGGTGTTATCTCGAAAGACAATGAAATCATCCATCTCAGAGAACACAACAGAATCACCCACATCCCTTTTAGAATCCGCGACACCTCAGAGTCATTTAGTCTGTGTTGTCGTGTAGGTGGACTGTCCTACGATTTTTTGAGATTAACTTTCTGTGATTTGGTTTATAGTGGCTAGCAGTGTGGTCCGGATCGGGGGTTTTGTGCCATTTTGGACTGATCAGCTGAATAGAAGACAGCATACATCGTTTCAAACACTGATGACGTGTCTTCTTCCAGTACGGACTCTTTGATAATGTCTGAGGATTAACATGATGTCATTTGGTGAATGTTCACTGGCAGTGGAATCCAGAATGTGCATTTCGATGGATAGCCGGCTTCCAATCTCGGTGGGAAGACCGTCGCTCAATGAAGATTGTAGGTGCATCCAGCTGACGATTCCCAAATAGAACGAAATGCACATTCACCAAATAACATAACATTGATTCGTATTCTTTTCGCGATCCTAATAAGAATGACTAATCATGGCAACTGATCGAAACCTATTACAATATCAATGCTGTTTGCTGTGTTAATCAATCATGCGACAGACACACAACACGTGACTGGTTATTTGAGCAAATAGTCTTATCATTACTAATGATTTTAAACCTCTGTAATAATGTGTGTGTGTGTGTGACAAGTCATGAGTGGGGGTAGAAGCAGTTAGAAATCGACAGAACTTAGAATTCATGGGGTATAGGATTCCTTCCCCCCCTCGAGTAGCTAAATGGTCAAAAGGCTCGCCTCGCAAACTGGGGCTCCTGAATTCGGTCCCCGGTGGAGTAGCGATTGCTGAAGAGTTTCAAACTAGGACGAGACTGTTGTCCAGTACTCTCTTGTTTTCAGTAGTTCCCTAATTGGTATCAATCCGTGATCAAACTTGAGATTAATCGCAAGGTGTTTTCGTGCGTAATTTAACAAATTATTATTTTATTATTGTTCCCTTGGGTTTCTAGTGGAACATTGGGCTTCAACTACACGTCTCCACTTGCTTCTGTCTTCTGCTGTACTTTTCACTTGCATCCATGTTAATCCATACTGTTTCAACTCCTCTTCAAACGATCTCCTCCATGTCACCCTTGGCCGACGAACCACTCGCCGCTTCCCTTTCGGGTTCCACTCGAGCGTTGGCCTGACACGCGATGTCACCCAACGGCCTCCTCAGTGAGTGTCCAATCCATCTCCACTCTCTCCTGCATATTTGTTGGGCGATTGGTTCTTGTTTTGTTTGTTCCCATAGTTTCTTGTTGGTGATTCTTTCCGGCCATCTGATCTTCAGGATAGAGCGAAGACAGTTGTTGATAAAGGTCTGCAACAGGCTGTTGGAAATATTCTTTGTGACCAGCTAAGTTTTTGATCCGTATAGAAGAACTGACTGACTTGACGTTTGTATTGAAAATCCGAATTTTGTTGTTGGTGCAGTCTGAGTGAAGAAGATTTCCAGATTGGTTTCAGGTTGATGAATGTGTTTCTCGCCTTCCCGATTCTCGATTTGACATCCTCGTCCGTTCCACCTGCCTGTAGTTGAGACAATGCTCCCTAGATAAGTGAATGAAGTAACCTCTTTCAAATCCCTCCCGTTGATGGTGATTGGCGCTGGATGTTGCTGATGATGTTGTTGTTGGTTGGTTATTTTCATAACCTCCGTCTTGTCTATGGTGCAACCGATATTTCAACTCTGTAAAAAATCGATGAAATACCTTTAAAACAACCAGGTGTAACAATTATATTTGTAAAATCTCAGCGAAATTGAAATGAGTAATTCCAACGTTTCCTGTGTTCGGCAATCTGGTTCGAACTTCTTCAGGGAAATTAATCGAAATTAACATAACAGCAGAGGTTTATATATAAAAAGGGGGACATCTCTTGTTTTTAAAAACTTTGTCCAGTCATATGAGTCATGAAACAGGTATCAAAATGTATAATAAACAAAATTGTATGAACTGTGATCAAAATTTGACCTCAGACTTTCAAAAATTAGTCTACCATTGTTAAACTTTTCAAACAGAGTTTATATGTGTGTGTGGGTAAACAGTTATAAAACATTTGTTAGTCTCTCCATAAGAAGATATAGACAATCGGGAATTTAGACCAAGTATGATTAATTAGTGATACATATCCATTTTTTATTTATTAATCAGGATTTGCCATGCATCAGCTAACAAGATCACACCTTCATGTCTGTTCAAACTGTTGGGATTCACCCATATATGTAGGGCTTCCGCAGTCAGTCTTTCTTTATACGAACCAAAACCTTTCTGTAGAACCTTAGTCCTATCACCAAAGTCGATTTGTGTCCCGTTTCTATCGAATGCAGTGCAGTGCAATCGCTGATCTGTTTTCTAGCTTCTTTAAGTCTGCAGGGGTCTTTGGAACCACATTTAGACACCGTTTATGCTCCTTCCCTCTTATATTCACCTGTCTGGAAGTTTCTCCTTATATATACGGCGTCACAGTCCCCACAATTGATCTGGTACACACAATTCTGTTGGTTTTCTTCTTCTATTTTATCCTTAACCTTCACCAGTGATGAGGAGCGTAAGGTGTTAGTTGCACGAAAATACACTCTTATGTTGTTATGATCGTTAAGGATTCGCTTAATCTCATCCGATGTTTCTCTGCGGTAAAGAATCACTGCTGTAATAAACTAATTTTTAGCAACAGGTTTCAATCTTTTTATGAAGGCTTAAGGATAATTATTTGATTCAAGAGAGTGGATTGAACCAGGTGTAACATTTGAAATGTTTACAGTACTCCACTAAACAGGCAATCGAAAATCACACAAATCCGAGTACAACATCAGCTATTTGGGTAAATTCAAATTACAACTCACTACCTTTGTTCAATCATGACAAGGAGGCGGAAATGAAAGGGAGGATAATACTGTAAGCATTTCAAATTTTACACTTGGCTGTTTCAAAGGTGTTTTATAGAATTATACAGACACCTTGAATATCTGTTGCGCCATCATTATTATTTGAATTATTTTACCGCCATTTTGAAAGTGTGCCATTTTCATTCTCAATACAAACTCGCAATTCGAAGTATTTAAACAAAACTAATTGAGTAATCATTATTGTTATTGTTTATTTTATAGCTGGTAAAAAAGTAATCTTCAGAGGTCCTCAGTCTTATGCTGGTTACAGAAGCGGTGGAGGTGGCGGTGTAGTTCGACACGCAGGACCAGCTGCTCCTCGCAGAGTTGATATTAGTAATGTTCAACTGTATGGTGCCAGGAAGGATGATGCATCATATCGTGAAGGTTTACAGGAATTAGCTGGATTAATGTAATGATAACTATACATCCATGATGTCATTTACTGTGCTTAACACTAATTGAGTTTCTTTTACGTCATATACATTTACCATGTGAATACAATAAAAATTCATCAAAAACTATTTTCATTTGCAGTATACTGGTCGATTCTAAAATTTAGACACATATATTGCTTTAGTTCGTCAACCAGTTTTTTATTTATTTAAACGCAGAAAAACTTGGTACAATATGGCACCAAGAAAGATGCGCCACACAATATTGTGTGAGGGCTGAGATACTGCCCGGGCGCCCAGACCGAAGCAGGCGGTTTTCCTAAGGAACCACCCCCCGAGCCTTTGACTTGAAGTCTAATCCGCAAGGCAGCGGAGCAGCGTCAGGAGCTGCGTTCCCATGGTTGCCGGTGACCCATATGGGTTCATACGCCATTTGGTCCGATTGAATTCTGGAGCCCATGTACCCCATGGTAACTGCTTTTAGTCTAACCGCTATCCAAACAACCTTCCTGACATGGTAGGACCTGCAGGGACATTAGTCCCAGCCAGTTTAGCTCATTGGGTCACTGCGGTATTCAAGCCCAACCACCACGGCAAGGTAGCAGTTATCGGTCAATCAGTACACTCCAATTTTCTTTAGATGGCGTGAATACTTTGAGGTGGTCATTCAAATTTCCAGAGTATATTTAATCTCGGGAAAAAAGTGGTTTCAATAAAGTTACTCTTCTTCAGGCTCTACAATCATAAATCCATTAATTTAAGCATACAGTAGCCAGTCAGTTAGTTTAGAATTTTCATGGTTAATGAAAACATGAGATAAAATGAGATGATATAATTCAATGATATGTGTATATATAAATATAGCCAACAAAAGTACACGTTTCGAGGGTGAGTGCGAGTGTAATCAGTCGTGTGTGAGACGGGAAATAAACCAGCGAATGGAATGAACTAAACAAAAGTTCAAGGTTGAAAATAACGACAATAATAATGATTGTAAAATAATAACAATGATATTATTATTCTTATTTTTTCTTTTAATTCCTAGAGGAACATAGGGCTTCAGCCGCGCGTCTCCATTGCGTTCGCTTCTCTGCTAGAGTCTTCACCTGGTTCCAAGTCACCCTTGGACGACCAACTCGCCGCTTCCCTTTCGGGTTCCACTCGAGCAATGGCTTGTCCAGTGATGTCACTTGATGGTTTGTTCTCTCAGAGTATGGCCAATCCATCTCCATTTCTTCCTGCATATTTGTTGCACAATCGGTTCCTGCTGGGTTGGTTCGCTCATTGCCCCAGATCTCTGTTGCTGATATTTTCTGGCCATCTGATCTTGAGCGAATTATTGAGAGAAGACAGCTGTTAATGAAAGTCTGTAGTTTGTTTGAAGTGCCCTTTGTGACGCGGCGCCAAGTCTCTGATCCGTATAGTAAGTAGCACTGACTTCACATTGGAGTTGAAAATCCGGATCTTATTTTTGATGCTGAGTAGTGCTGTTGACCTCCACACAGACTTGAGAGAAATGAAAGCTTGTCTTGCTTTTCCGATTCTTGCTTTGATATCCTCATCAGTTCCGTTCGCCTGTAATTGAAACGATGCTTCCCAGGTAGGTTAAGGAGGTTGTTTCTTTCAGGTTCCTCCCATTTATGCTGATTGTTGTCTGTTGTTGTTGTTGTTGCTGTTGGTGGTGTTGACCAGGAATCTTCATCACCTCTGTTTTATCTATGTTTACCTGAAGTCCTATCTTCTCTGGATGCTTCTTCTGTCGCCAACTTGTTGCTTTTCGCTTGCATATCATCTTCCAGTTTGTGGGAAATCAGACATATATCATCGGCGAAGTCCAGATCCTCCAAACTTTTTGTGTGAGTCCATTTTATGCCTGTTTCCTCATTGGCCGCTGTTTGTCACATTATGCAGTCTACTGCAATCAGGAAAATTATTGGCGATAGTAGGCAGCCTTGTCTTACTCCTATCCTCACTTCGAAGGATTCCGTAAGTCTCCCGTTGTTGGTATGCAGCACTGTCGTACAGCTGTTGGTGGCACCCCGTAGTAGCGAAGTAGTTTCCAAATCACCTCTCGATCGACGCTGTCAAAGACTTTTCCAAAGTCGATGAAGTTGAGATTGATGATATGGTGTAAACTTGAAAGTACTATTGGTGAATGATTATCAAATAATAATAATAACAATAATAATAGGGAATTTAATGAAGTGAAATAAACAGGACTTTGTGTATGTGATAACAAGTTAGAAAAGCACTGCTTAAACCTAAGGTAATATAAATCATAAGAAAGGTCATGAAGTCGTAAAAGGTCAGAAATGAACGTTTGTCAATGAAACAAAGGAACAGAAGAAGAAGAAAAGAAAAAATTGCGACAGGAATTTAAAGTGTTAGTGTTTATGAAGGATCTATTGACCTTAATGTAAGTCAAGGTAAACATAGAGGTTGGATATACTTCTGCATACAAACACGTGGTCTTTTGGTGTTGATTCCTACTGCTTCAGCTACTGATAGAAGATGTAGTCGAGCTCCTCTGCATAGATTACCAGGAACACGGTAAATAACTGAGAACTCATGGTCAAGTTTTATCGAGTGTCCAGGCACAGTGGTTAGGTCTCTCGCCGACCATGCACATGGTCCGGGGTTCGATCCTCTGCCGACGCACACTCGATATCTATGGTCGGCCTGCAAAATTTGGGCTACCAATATCCACGCTGAAAATTCCATACTTTTACTGAAAATACAGTGTGGCATCAAGCTGTAATCAAAAAATAAAAAAAAATCTACCAAGTGGGCTAAGACTGCGCTGTTTACGCATTTGGTTACTCCTTTACTCAACCATACAGATACATGTTCATGCGCGCGCATGGATAAGGCCCTATGAGTAAGGTCAATGTAACTAGCTCCACATGAGCAGTTGCATTCATAAATACACTTTGATGAAGCCATCTCTGGTAATTTTTTTAACTCGTTGTGTGAGTACAGACTTAGCTGAGAAGCTGAGTACCAGTTCAGCTGCAGGAAATGTTCTCTCTAATGCTCTTTTAAGTCGACATTTGAGAATGTCAGCTGCAATCTCCCCTTTATAACTTAAATTAAGATACAAAGGTTTCTTATCTACGGTATCCATCGTTACCTTATCTCTAGGTATCGACATATACTTTTTTGTTCCATCCCATTTTATACTTGTTCCACAATACACTTTCTGATATTATTCTAATTTTACAGCCTTTACTGACTGGCTATTGTATGCTTAAATTAATGGATTTATAATTAATTGTAGAGCCTGAAAAAGAGTAACTTTATTGAAACCACAGTTGTTCACTCTAACTATTTATGTTATAAATAAATTATGGGAATTTCAAACTACTTATACACTTATAAGTAGGTTAAAATTAAAAGTAGAATTAACAAATCCGTGAAGTTATGACTCATGGCTTTCTTCAATGCAGGAATGATTGAATATTATTGAAACTTTAATGTTACCTTTAAGCTAACTTAATCCATCATTACAAGACTACTTCCCTTCAGTATTCACAGAATTACAAGGAGCTTATTTCGATGACAACGTTTATTAGAGTAAAAATGGATATTATTGCATCTGAGTGATTTCCAGTACATCTTTCGACATTCATGTCGATCTAAACATCCTCTTAAGAACTGCATGTCTGCCTTTGCTGCTGCAAGCTTGATGGAGTAACGCAGAAAACTGTCCAGATCCTTCACTATCGGTGGAAGAGTAAAAATGGACAAGATTTTCAGAATAGGATGAGAGCATATAATGAAGAAGATTTCTAGCTCAGGTGGATGATTTTGATGTAGTTGTGTTCTCTGAGCTGGATAGTTTATTTGCGAAGTTTTCATTGCCTCACCACTAGGCAACATCTTCAGCGCATAATTCGATTTTGTAAGTGAGCTTTTAGATTTCTCTACAAGTTTATTAGCTATCCCTCCTGGCCACCTTGAACGTCATGATTGCTTGCTCTTCTTTGTCTTCACATCCTCTAGTCTACTTGCATTGGTATCGGTTGCTTGCTTGACCTGAAGTTTGACGTTTTGTGCATGAGATTTTCGCCCTATGGACTAGTAAATTTTATCTATTCCAATGTACCTGGTTCACCGGAATACTAGGCTTCCAAAAAAAATTCTCTGGTATTCTTGGTGTTTCCTCTGTCTAATATATGAACGTTGTCCCTGTCGAATTGATGTCCATGGTTGTGTGTATGCAGTGAGACGATATGAGGGAGTGGATGTCATGTCTTTTGACGGCTAGTTTATGTTCACCGCTGACACTTCACTCAGCTTTCTGTGTGTTAAGAAGACAAACAAGAGCAACCAATCACGTTCAAGATCACCAGGAGAGATGACTAATAAACTCACAGAGGAATTTCAAAGCTCCATTATAGATAAGATTTTATTTTGATAAATCACACAATGTTATACAGTAATATTAACTGATGACGATTCGAGGCATTGGTGTTGAATAACTATCCTTTGAAATTCATTGGGAATATCAAAAAAGGTCAAAAGCAAAATAAAAATAATGGTGAGACTAATAGTAATGGTGATAATATAAGTAAGAGAGAATATAAGGCATGTATATCAGTTTTATCGCATAAGGAGGGGTCATCTGAGACGAGACCCTATGTAGGATTCTTAATAAAGCAGGAATTTGGGTGGTGACATTCAAACCTACAACTCCATTCAGAGATATTCTCTGTAGGCGAAAGGACTCGGTGGACCCAATTAGACAAAATAATATAATTCACAAGATACCTTGCAATGACTGTGGGTGAGGTCAACTACATAGGTCAAACTGGTAGATCAGGAGTAGTGAGATTATCACAACTTAAGAATTTAGCTAAGCTAATAATGGTTGCCCCCGCGAAGATAAGTAATTTAGAAAAAACTCAGCAATTGCACTACATGCACTAACACACAATAGGATGGGAGAGGGTCAAAATGCTAAGAAGTAATATAAGTTGGCGGAGAAAGAGTGGTTGATTACCGAATCCTGGTTCATTGTGTCTACACTGAACACATGCAATAGGAATGACTCAATGCAAATACCAGAGATATGCATGGAAGATATTATTACCAACAGTCAGTCAAATCAGAGGAGGATAATAAATAATGTTAAAATGTATTTCATCAATTCACATTATAACATTCTAACAAGTTACTTAAT